GTTAACTGCGATGCAATGTAGCGAGTGTAAACAAGTTCTTTCTTTCTATTTCATTTATACATTGGTGTGAGTGCGTGGCAGTGAGGAAAGTTATATTATTTACGTTTTGTTTTTGGAATAAGAATTATGTGTTCTATGCCATTTATATATAAGATTATGGCATCCGCTAACTGAGGTAGAGTAAGCAATAAGTAGTCCTTTCTTGGTCTATGTCTTGTACACATTCATTTTTTATAGTTCTTTATTGCTGTGTGAACAATCACACGAATTATGTAACGCACGTGGAGTAAACTGACTGGGACAAAGGGCGCACAATTTTGCTTAAATTATTCGACAACTTGTCCATCTTCAAGAGTTCGTTTAATACCTACCGATGAACATGTGTGGTCAAGACAAGTAATACTTAAAAATGCAGGTGCAAATAACATAATGGCAAATTAATGTGTGTCAGTGTTGGGAAGACATCCTGGTTAATGGGGTTGTATTAACGGGTTAGATTAGGTGCAAGGTTTGTCAAGACCAAACGTGCTACATCATGGCAACATTCCGTGTTACGTGATACGTCATGCCCGTCAGTAGACTGAGACCGTGTTAGACACCTCGTTTGGTCCATTTGCCCTCACGTTGGTGGGGTTTAATCGCTGGTTATTCAACTCATGCCTTCTAACATCCTGTGTTCTGTAGTCCTCTAAGGGAACTACTTCGTATCGCGCTCGTGGAAAGTCACGATTTGCTAAGAAATGTTGATTTATGGAGACCCGTGGTCTCAAATTATCGTAATCGATGCAATCATCGTCCCTTGTTCGCCGACCACACTGTTTTAAGTTCTTGCTAGTAGCTCGTATTCGTCTTCTTAGTGCTTGGCACCACGAAGGCTGTGAAGCGTATACAAAAAAAAGAAAATATTAAGCAAAAAAAGTCATTTACATGGACAGTATGGGGTTAGATCTGTGCCAAAAACATTTCTCTTAGCATTTTACAATTATGTTAACATTCTTTTATCATTTTGTTAGCATTTTTACATTATTTCAAAATGACAAAAAAAATGTGAACATAATGGTATGATGCTAATAACAATGTTTTTGGCACTGATCTCACCCCATAGTACAGTTCTTAGTGTAATTATTACGTTAAACAAAACCGAATCTAATCAATCATTTTGAATCAGAACTTGACGGAAACTTGTATACTTGTGTACACATTTTGACATGAACTGGTTACGGAATAGCGAAAATGTTTAATTTTGACACATCTCTAGTACTAAAATGGCTGCAATACGGTCCTCTTGAATCAGTTCATGACATGGGTTCATTTATCTATTATTTTTTTTTATTAACCTCTGATTACTCGAACGATGCATCGACACTAACTTGAAATAATTTCGACTGATAATTTATTTCGAAAAAAATTGATAGAT